AGTACGCGGAGTATCTGTGGAGCTGGAAGCTGAGAACTGGCGACTTTCTAGTACAACTTTAGTACGCGGAGCAATCTGTAGAGCTGGAAGCTGAGACCTGGCGACTTTCTAGTACAACTCTAGTACGCGGAGCAATCCGTAGAGCTGGAAGCTGAGAACTGGCGACTTTCTAGTACAACCTTAGTACGCGGAGCAATCTGTAGAGCTGGAAGCTGAGAACTGGCGACATTGTAGTACAACTTTAGTACGCGGAGTATCTGGCAAGCTGGACGATGAGAACTGGCGACTTTGTGGTGCAACTTCAGTAACTTCAGTACGCGGAGCAATCTGTGCAGCTAGAAGCTGTGAACTGGCGACTTCGTAGTACAACCTTAGTACACGGAGTATCTGGCGAGCTGGACGAGGAGAACTGGCGACTTTGTAGTACAACTTTACTACGCGGAGTATCTGTGGAGCTGGATGATGAGAACTGGCGACTTTCTAGTACAACTTTAGTACGCGGAGCAATCTGTAGAGCTGGAAGCTGAGAACTGGCGACTTTGTAGTACAACTTTAGTACGCGGAGTATCTGTGGAGCTGGATGGTGAGAACTGGCGACTTTCTAGTGCGTGCGTTTGACTGGAGGACGCGCATGTTGGAGAGAACGTGGACACTCCTATAGGTCAATTTCTTCTTATAGGAAACTTCTACCGCCGGCTTGCCCGGGAACTACTTGTAGTAGTAAAACCCTTTGATACTAGTAGCGCTGCCCTTGTCCCTAATAGCTTCTTGCTACTAGTTATATGACTGCGACTCGTAGTAGTAATGCCGTTTGTTACCAGTAGCGGTGTCCTTGTCCCTAGTAGCTTCTTGCTCCTAGTAGTAGGAATGCTACTAGTAGTCGTCATGCCCTTTGTTACTGTGAATGCATGCTCCCTGTTGACCCAGCTGTCCCGACTGCCATATAGGCACAAGGGTTGTTTGAAAGTGAAAAGGTAGCGACTTTGCGTGTTTTACATTGGTAGCGTTGAGCCTGTCCCGCGCTCGGTGGGCACGGTTGGTGGAGATCGGGGTCTTTGTGGGTGGCTCTGGGGGCTACGTGGTGGAGGATCGCAGTCGCGATGCCATCGCCAGGCGCCAGAATGGCGCTGAAGATGGAGAAGGTCAAGATAAAGAACGAGAAGAGGAAACTACCTCTCAAAGAACCTCAGAGCAGTCTTGGGGGCGAAGGGGCTGGTCAGAAGAGGAGTGGAGGCAATGGAACAGCTTCTATGCCTGGGGGCCTGGACCTAGTGGAGGAGGTGGCTCGACTCGGGGGAATGCATGGGCAAGGACCGTCTTCTTCGATAGAGGGTTCAGCAGCACCAACAGCTCCACAGGTTTCTGAGGGTGGTGCTTGGTGGACCGCTCAAGGTGGGGATCCATGGATGTGCGACGACCGCCGGCATGGAGGTGGAGGACAGGACAAAACCCAGGTTCCGGAGTACTCGGGAGAAGATGATCGTGATGGGTTGAAGGCAAAAGGGTACATCCGGAAGGTAGAGGCCTGGAGAAGAGTCACCCGCCTTTCACGAGGCAAGCAAGCTCTCATGCTGCACAACAGCCTGTCAGGTAGGGCCTGGCGGGGTGCGGAGGAGCTGGACCTGTCCCTCTTGGACACCGACAACGGGGTGATCTTCCTATCCTGGATCAAGGACAAGTACATGGACCGGGAGGTCACGAAGGTTGGCCGCTACGTGTCCAACTTTTTCAAGGTCCTAAAGAAGTCGGCCAAGCAGGACATCCGTGACAGGCAGATCAGTCGACTGCGCGAGGTTGGTTGCACTCTCCCGGACACCTGCCTGGCTTGGTGGTATGTGGATAAGATGAGGTTGGACAACGAGTTGAACCTTCTTTCACCGGTTGGCAACCTATACAACCTCCAGAAGCTCCAAGACGCAGCTGTCATCCAAGACAGGATGAACCGCCGCCTGTGGGAAAGGCGACAAGACGGGGACAAGAGGACTGAGGACAAAAGAAAAGGGCACCAGGCTCTCATGACCTCGTTGGATGATGAGGACGAGGACGACGACGAACCTGGACTCACCGACATCGATCACACCCATGAGGCCTTTGCGGCGTTCCGCAACGCCAAGAGCAAGTACCGGGCAGCCTTAAAGGAACGTGTATTCACTCAGTCCAAGGACGAGCGATTGCAACAAGCGCCCAGAGCTACTGTTCCGTGTGCCACAAGAAGGGACATTGGCACAAGGATCCTGAGTGTCCCGCCAACAAAGGAAAACAAGGGGTTGAGACACACACACACACACACACAACCCACGTGGTCTATGTCACAGCGAACCTGGACACGACGAACGACCTTGAGAAGTACCAGGGCGGCGGGGCGCGCTATGCCAGGACGATGACATGGTGTGGACTTGCTATGCTGTGGACCCTGAGGTTGACCAGGGGAATTCCACACCAATGTTCCTGTCCAACAGGGTTGGACTATGAGTTTCCTCAACTACCTGCGGAAAGCAGGAATCCCCTACTTCATCGAGAACGACTATACCCCTCAAAGCAAGCCCTGGTCACATGGCTGGCGATCCACGGCTCGTGGTTTGCCGTGAAGATCAGTGCGGCGGGCGCAGATGTGCCCCTGCTCCTGAGTAGACCTGCACTTGGAGCCCTGGGGATGCGCTACGACATCGCACAAGGAGTGGCTGTTCCCGTTTACATGTGCACTCAGTGCGCATGATCATGAGTGCCTGTGGCCATCCTCAAGTGGCAGTGACGAGCAAGAAGACTCCGTTCCTGTCTTGGCCAGAGCGTTGTGATTGGAGTCTCACGGAGGTCTACGTACCTGCAGCGCAAGCAGTATACATGGCCGCGGATGGGGGGCAGCGTTTCATCCCCAAGAAACTTTCAGCTGGGGTACATGACATGTTGAGCAGCGAACCCTTCCACCATGAGTCCTTCCTGCATTGGTGGCGCTCCAAACAATATTACAGGGAATTCTGGGTTGACTACCTGTACCGCATCCATGTGACGCCTCGGAGATCGTCGTTCGACCCTCGCTCATGGCAAACCGCCAAAACGGACTTGAGAGAAACTTTACTATCTCGACTTGCAGTCCATTGTGAAACAGTCACCGTCCCTTGCACAACATCTGCCATTGTCACATGTCAGCAAGTGGAGAGA